TTTTATTTCATATAAGAATTACAAGAATTTTATATACATGCGCTAATTCAAAAAATTATCATTTCCAGTCCGAAGTTCCAAATTCGACACACGTTTTAGACAGCCTGATATCAAGCAAACAAAACAAACAGGTAACAAAAATTAAAACTAACTGATTTATTTAATACAATAAGAATTAGAATAACTTCATACACATTAACTAATGCAAAAATTATAAAAATGTTTAGCCAGAAGTTTCAAATTCAATACATGCCTAGGACAGCTTGATATCAAGCAAAAGTAAAAAAAATACCTAAATTTATTTATTTATTTAATATAAGAATTACAAGAATTTTAATTCTAAATACATGCACTAATTAAAAAAAATTATCATTTCCAGTCAGAAGTTCCAAATTCGACAAACGTTTCAGACAGCCTGATATCAAGCAGCAATAACTAATACTAAAGTTAATTTATTTATTTAACATAATAAGAATTACAATTATACGAATGCACTGATTTAAAAAATTATAAGTTATTGAGCCAGAAGTTTCACATTCGATACACGTATTAGACAGCCTGATATCAAGCAGTGATAACAAAAATTACAACTAATTTATTTAGTTAATCTAATAAAAATTACGAGAATTTTGCAGTGAATAATGCACTGATTCAAAATATATAAAAGTTATCGAGTCAGAAGTTTCAGATTCGATACATGCCTCGGACAGCTTGATGTCAAGCAGTAGTAACAATTACTAAAACCAATTTATTTGATGTAATAAGAATTACAGAGTTTTATTCACGTGCACTGATTCAACATCTTGATATATATATATATATATATATATATATATATATATATATATATATATATATATATATATATTGAATGGTAGAATCTTGGATTTGTGTATATTTTGTAGAGTTTCGAACAAGAATCCAAAAATAATACAAAATAAAAAAACAAGAAAAGTTTTTAATAAACAATTTCTTTATTTAATTATTTCAACGTTTCGGAACTAGGTACGTTCCATCTTCAGGACATCTGTCAAGAAACATGATCTTGATGAGATTTAAGCAAACAATATGTTTAGGAATAGAAAATAGATTTTTCTTAAATAATAAATTAATTGTAACAAATAATAATGTACAGAAATATGATAATATGATCAAAATGAAAATGATAAAAATAAATGAGTGGATTATCTGAACAGGATATTAAAAATGATAGAAATTTTTTTTTTGAAAGTTATGGAAAAAATTTTTTAAGAAAGGATTAATGATAAAATTGAATTAATTACCTGTATGTTTGAATATACGTTAGCACTTTTTCACTAAACAAGAATTTTTGACAAAAAATGAATTTGTGAGTTATTTTTCCGCCGAATAGTTAACTTTTGTAAATCAAAATTACTAAAAGTGTTGTCTTTTTTTAAATTATTATTTGAAAACAAATAATATTGTTTTTTCGATGTTATACTATTGGCTTTTGGAAGCGAACTAACTGAAATTTGATGGTCCATATGTAACACGTGTAAACACTTGAAACGAGAACTGTGAGATTGTATGTGTGTGTTTTTTTGTGGTAGGGTGTAAATACTTAAATTATTGAACTTATAAGGAAGTCGATATTAATTGTTTGTCAAAAAGTGTAAAAAATTTTAAATATGAGTCATGTAATAGGTTGTGATCTGATCTAATGTTGACACTGTTAGAAACATTTATGAGAATGAGACAACTCTCCGCGAATAACCTTCTAAAGATGCAACTTTCGTGATATAAAATCTTTGGAGTGAAATTAAATGAATGGGCGTTTTCTATAGAGTGTTGTACTAGGGTACTTTTGAAATTTTTTTGTTTATGGTGGACCACACTTAGTTCATGTTGTCTCATTCTCTTGTGTACATATTGCGAGGTTTGTCCAATATATTGAAAAGCACAGTCATTACAAGAAACAGAATATACTACATTAGTATTGAGATTGGATGGGGTGGGGGATTTAATGTTCGTAAAGAATTGGTTGAAGGAGTGTAAGGATGAGCCTGATACTAAAATGTTTTCTTCTAACAAAATTTTGGCAAAACTAGCTATAAGTGGAATTCTGTCTTGAGGCAATTATGGCATCGTGTCTTAAGGCAAATTGCTGGAACTTCCCGTACCGTAACGAAATGTTCGTGGAATACTGAAAGTTTTCAAATAGATTATTATAAATATTGTAACATTGTCTAATATTTATAAATATTATATAAACTGAATTGCAGAGTTGAAATTATTTGTAAAGTATATTAGAACTATAGTCAGAATTAAAAATAAAATCTGAAATATTTTCGATATACAAAAAACTAAAAAAAAAAAAAAAAAAAATGGAACAAAATTTTTTTTTTCCAAAATCAATTATTTTGTTAAGGCAAGCAGAAAGTTTTTTGAATCATTAAAATCGGACGCTTAGTTCTCTCCAAAATTGCCATTTTTTACATATTTTGCTCCGTATCTTCAAAATGGCTGGGCCTGCCTTTGCCAAAAACTAATAAACACTTCTCCCAATCATTACTAATTGAATGTTTTTTATATCATTCAAATCGGATACTCCGTTCTCTCAAAAATTCGATTTCTATTTTCTGCACTCTTTGCTTCGTATCTCCGAAACGGCTGGACCTGCCTTTGCCAAAAACTAATCAGCTCTTTTCCCTATCAATAGGAATCGAATGCTTTTTGAACCATTCAAATCGGTTGATCCGTACGCCCGAAAACGTGGGCGAAAATTTGTATCCATACATACATACACACACACACACATACACACACACACACACATCCATTTATTCTGAGGTATGCCAAAACGTTCAGAAACCTTCAAAACGTCGATAAATGTTAAAATTTTCAATTCCGATTTTCGGCCCATTACAATAACTTACCCTACGGGAAGTTAATAATAATATAAATCTTCAACGTATGGTATGCTGCAGTAAATAAGATTGGTGTTTTTGATGTTGGTACTGGTATTGGGAGAATTAATTTGTGTTTTTAAAAAAGTTCGTCTTTTTTGAATAACTGAATGAATGAGATTTTTTGGGTAACCATTTTCAATTAGAGTTATTTTTACTAGGGATAAATTTTGTGGATGGGAAGTCTGGTGAGACAACAAAATAGCATGGTCTGTAAGGGAAATAATAGTGTTTATCTTATAGTTTCTGGGACAGTATGAGGAATAGTGTAAGTGTCTACCCGACCATGTAGTTTTTCTGTACCAATTTGTTCGAATAGAGTTATTAGTGTTGTAAACGGATACATCCAAGAAATTAAGTCTGTTGTTATTTTGTAGTTCATGTGTGAAAGTTATATTATTGTTAAAGTTATTGAAAAGATCTAGTACTGTGTTTATATGATTTTTGTTAATGATAAAAAAAGTGTCATCTACATATCTAATATAAAAGTTAATTTGAAATTTCAAAGTTGAGAAAATGGAAATTTCTAGTGTTTGTAAAACTACGTCGATGATTCCGGGAGATAAGGGACATCCCATAGCTGCGCCTTTAATTTGAGAATAAAAGTTGTCTTGGCAATGGAAATAGGAGTAATTTAAAATAGTGTTGATAATATGAGTGAAGACTGTTTTCGGAAAGTCAGTAAAGTTACAAATTGTGTGCCAACGTTTATCGATTGAGTTTAGGATTAATTCATGTGGGACACATGTAAAAAGGTTGACCACATCTAAGCTTAGAAATAAGTGATTTTCAGGGATGTTGCGGTTATTAATTAAATTCACAAATTGGTACGAATTCTTGACATAATAGGGAGAATTGATTGTAACATTTTTTAGGACATCAGAAATGAGTTTCGAGATATTGTAAAAAGGAGAGCCAATGTAGGAAACAATCGGTCTGAAAGAGCATTCAGGTTTGTGTATTTTTGGATTCTTGTTCGAAACTCTACAATATATATATATATATATATATATATATATATATATATATACTCTTGAAGTTAATAAATATATTTGAACTTCGAGGAAATAGCTTTTACTAGAAATCCTTGTTTGTTAGCAGTTATGATTAACAATCAAAATTTGCAAAGTTTCAATAACACCATTTCTTCATAAGACTAGAGAGAACTTATCAAATTTAAAAAGTAATTAATTGCGTGTTAATTTTACATTTCTGAAAATAGCATGAAAATATTAAAGTATCATTTTTGTAAAAAAATATGTACAATATAACAAAGATAATGTGAATGAATTATTATATCAATTTGTTCGATCTTTGGCAAATAAATTATATTCGTAAATAATCAATAAAATAGACCAACGAAAAAAAAATTATATCACCACATATAACTGCATTTAAGTACACAGTCAATTGCAATTGCCTGCACAAAACGACTCTTCAATTCAATACTTTTATTGCTGTCTATAAAATATCAAAGACAATATATTAAAAATGACTACATATTAAATAGTAGATTAATGAAATTAATATTGCATCTGTACTTCATTTTATAATTCTACATTCTGCACTAAGTTTTATAATTTAATACATTATAAAAATAACTACCCAGTAAACCACAAAACGTAACAAAGCCATGAACGTTACGTAACGCTGGCACGTCCGCACGAATCAGGTACGTAACCTGGGAGGCACACAGAAGCATCTATTTCGCGGGCAAGAACGTAACGGCTGTTTCGTTGCACACTAATACACCGCGGTTACATTTTTGCTACGTATCTAAATTGAATAAAAAAGCGTGTAGGTGTCTTTTATGTTACATACTTATTTAATTAAATTTCCTGCAAATATAGAATATTAATAATAATTTCGGATATTAAGTAATTTTATTAAATATTATCATTTACAATATACAAAATTTACATATTACATAGTTAACATTAGAAAACTAAAATTTGATAGTCCATAAAATGTTAGCCTATAAAAATAATTATTTATTTATTCACAATATGTATTATGTTTAACTCTCTTGGCAACTTCAGTTAAATCAGATTTGGCAAAGTTAAGTCTTGTGTTAAATATGTTCAACTCACTTGCATCTGTTAATGTATCTAAAATAGAACCAAACATCTTAGAAACATTGTACACAAATTTTGAATTGAAAACATTGTGAACAAATTAGTCATTTGTGAACATTACCTCTAAACATACTCATTATTTGAAGTTAATGACTATGTAGTTCCTACGATCATATGACAGAGATAATTATTCCATGAACACACACTCAATTTTCTTGCATTGATTTTATCCTATTAATTTTCAAGATCTGAATTACCTAAAAGTAAAACACTACAAATTAGTACTAAATCATATTAGTTAAAATTCTCTTCATGTAGAACCTTAATATACCAATTCTGTAATGCAAGTTCATCAGGCTCGAAATACTCAACAATTCATGTTCTCTTCAACACTTAATCCATATAATGTGTGATATCCAGTGCATTCTTTGTTTTCCTTCTTGAATGTTTTTAAGTCTTGCTTGTTTCTTTGGTGACAATTTATCTTCTTGATTAGAGCAAATTTCCCTAGTTTGAATTCCATTTTGACATAAGCCATAGGGGTTATGAGCACTCTTTCTCTACAATTGAAAAGCAATTTATATCAGTTTTTGCTTAACTGAATAGTTCTGATACTAATGAAATTATAAAGAATATGTATGATACCATATATATTACACTTATCTACCTATAATATTCATATCATATCACTGAATTGAGGTTATGTGATTTTTGACTGGTCTGTCAGAAATTTCAATAATTATGTGATAAATCAATTATCACAATACATAAACAGAATTTGCATTGCACATGACCTATATACTGAAAATAACTAATTAGTCATTAATATAATAATTTGTAAATTAAAAAAAAAACAGTGCAATTATACTCACCTTTGCTGGTTTCGTATTAAATATGTTAATTTCCTAAAAGTAAAACATTACAAATTAGTACTAAATCATATTAGTTAAAATTCTCTTTGTGTAAAACATTAATATACCTATTCTGTAATACAATATCATCACTTAAGAAATACTCCACAATTCATTTTCTTTTCAACACTTAATCTTAATATGTGTTCTTATTTATCGATATGTGTTCTCATTTTTCTTCTCGCATGTTTTCAAGCCTTGCTTGTTTTTTTTTGGTGACAAAGGATTAATAATTTCTAATATATTATCTAACTTTGTATTTATCTTCTCTATTGGAGAAAATTTCCCTAGTTTGAAATCCATTTTCGTAGGGGTTATCAGCACTGTAATTTTCTCTACAATTGAAAACCAACTTATATCAGTTTGTGCTTAGCTAAATAGTTCTGATACTAATAAAACTATAAAAAATGAATATGTATAAAACTATATAACTTACTTCTCTTTATTCATATATCACTGAATTGAGGTTATGTTTCTGACTGGTGTGTTAGAAATTTCAATTATTACATGACAAATCAATTATCACAATACATGAACAGACTTTGCATTGCAGGCGGCCTATATACTGCAAATGACTAAACATTATTATAATAATTTATAAATTAAAATATGTTTCAGTACAATTAGACTCGCCTTATTTGCCGGTTTCATATTAAATACTTTTGCAGCTGACTGTTTAACTAATTTCTACAACTGATTTCGCACTAAATATAAAAGCAATTAATAAATAACGCTTCAATAAAGGAAATATCTTGCATTTCAAACATACACGATAAAATACTCAATTATGCGTCCACGACGCACTGACCGAGTTAACCTATATTTAATTTGACATTTCGATCATAAAACACTTCACGGCTATTTTCAAAGGCTAATCTATGTGACAATGCAACGTACCACGCCACGTACCGACAGAAACGCGTCGACGGTGGTTAAAGGTCGCAACTATACGTAACAGCATCGGTTTTTTTACTTAACATCAGTTTCGAAACGAAAGTTACAAAGTGAGTTACGTGGTGGTAACTTCTGTGGTTTACTGGGTATTAACATTGAAAAGTTGTAATTCATTTCTATTTTGATTTTTTATCACTGATTTCACGCAGTTTTTTGTATTCCTCCTTCACATTGTCTATGAACGCTTTAATAAAATAGAATTTTCGTTTAGGATTATTTGCCAGCTTTTCAGTGTTGTCACCTAAAATTGATTTTGATCTATACATTAAGGAAATGGCTAACTGTGCAGCTCTTCGAACTGGATAAGATTCAGACAACTTCTAAACTAAACGTTCGTTATTCAGCAAATAATTCACGAGAGATCGCAGAGGCATTTTGAACAATTTATATTTTGATTGAATCAAATGTGTAGGTACATAGTCCTGTATTTATGCAAAAGCTCTTGTTTAAGTTTTAATTGTTTCCTAAGTGTCTCTAAATATTGAAGTTGTTCCTCTTTATTATAATCAATTCCAGGTAGCTGAGTAACTTGACTTCGAATTTTTTCTAACTTCTTTTTAGAAATTTTAGAAATTCAAATACAAATTTTTTTTACTGATAATTTACTTTTCACTTCAAATTAATGATTGTCATAAAACGTTTCAAACAAAAATTACTCAATTGTACTTAATTATTAAGAAAAAGCCTTTGCATGGAGTATACACAATATCCTTAATGTAACGTTAAGTTTGCGTTTAATGGGCAAAAAGTCCCATTACATTTTTGCAGATAAAAACGATTGATTATGAGTGATAAGTAATATATATTTTAATATAAATGTAGTATAAAAATAGTATGAGATCAAATACGTAAGTCTATTAATAAGTCAAGTTAACATACTGCTTCAAATCATGCTACAAAAATATACATAATACATAGTACAATATATGAGTACGATTATAATAATTATAAGTATACGATTATAGTAAATATGAGTATTTCTTAATAGTAAAATAATTCATTCTATCTTGCAAAAATTAGAAATATCTCATTAAAATATTCAAGTTTTGCTTTTATTGTCAAGAAGTAAAATTTTTGTTATAGATTATTTTGCAAGTATTTCAGCATTACTTGCATAGCTTGTAGTAAAGTAAATTCTAGATCAAAAGAGTTCCCTCCTGTTGCATAATAAGAGTCTAATCCTTGGTATTTTGGAAAATATCCCTAAAATATAAATTTTGCATATATTAAGATTTGCTTTAATATTTTAAACTATGTTATAAGACTAACCATGCACTTATACATATATCTATTTCCATCTAGGTGATAAATGTATATAAATTCAGGAACACATAAGTTTGTCGATTGACATACTGTCAATATTTTTTGTAAAGTGTGCAAGCTCTCAGGATATTTAAAACAAAATTGGTAGAGTTCCATACAATTCCAATTTTGCCATTCTTGATGTATATGATGATTTTTATCTATGTGGTTAGAATTGAGCTTATCTAAAACAGTTATAGCCTGATTTTCCAAACTCAAGTTAGTCATATCATGGATTAAATAATCATCATTTGCATAAGTGTTATTTCCATTTGTGTTCAAATATATGTTTGTTGATTGTGAAGTTAATTGTTTAGAAGTTTTCTGCTCAAGTCTTTTTGCTGCTATTACTTGACGCCTGAAAACAATTTTGATCTAATAATGTGCTAATTATGTAATATGCACATAAAAATATATAATGAAACAAAACAAAATATTTACCTTGGAGAATCCGGTTTAGCCCACTCTATTCTTATGATTCGTTGTGCAACCCTGATACCTGTTAACAATTAATTTTTTAATAAATGTATATAATATTTCAAAAATAATATATTACTCACCATCAAGTTTCTCTAGTACCTCTTGTGCAATTTCTCTTGAGACGAAATGTGCAAAGGCATAACATTTGACTTTCCTTAAGCGATTTAAAAATGTTTCATTATTATTAAGTATAGGCAAAATTAATTTCTTAAGATCATATTCAGTCATTTCAAGCGGCAAATTCTGGAAGTAGAGAACTTTCACCTAGATATCATCATAATCATTATATAATGGGTACAACAACAAAAAATAGAAATTAAGATTCAGAAAAAATACAACCTGGAACATAATTTTCTTGTTAACATTGAATTCAGGTTGAGCCCAACCAATTGAAAGACATGTGTTCCACAATCTGAAATTGTTTGCATTACATGATAACAATTGACAAATTGTCACAAATTAATTATTAGATAACTCACCGCACACCTCCAGGAAGCATGCTACGTATAGCAATAGCAGCTTTTCTATGCGATTCAAATTTAACAAATGCATAACCACGGTTAAGCATAGGATCTCGATCATTAGGTGGTAATATGACTTCAACTACACCATCAGCAAGAGCTGCCAACTCATCGAATATTTCTGGTGCAGTCACAAAATGTGGAATATGACCCAAAAACAAACACCTGTTGTCAGCAGATCTCATGACTTTCATACCACCATTGCAACCGACAAAAGGATACCTTATATATGGAACATATTATTATCTGGTTGTTTGAAATCATTGGTCATGCAATATCAATTTTGTTCTGTGGAGACATTATTAAGCCTTACCTATTTAATTTCAAAATAGCCTCATCAGCTTCTTCCTCAGATGAGAATTTCACAAACCCATAGCCCCTATTATATCCAGAAAAGTTAAGCATAAGCCTTAACTCATAAATCTTTCCAACTTGGCTGAATATTGGAACAAGTTTATCTTCGAAAACTGTGCACGGTATATTTGTAAAATAAACTTCACAATCTGTAAATAAATGTTGCACTTATCATAATTATGTGACATGATATTATATGTTTGTCAAGAGTAACAATCCATCCATTACACAATATTCTTCATTGGTAATCGATAATTAAATGATTTTAAACTTTTTACCTCTATCTGGTTCTGGTCCAGTCCAATCAGGAGGAGGTCCAAAACACCTCTGCCCATTTTTTTGAATAATCTGGCATCCAGTTTTGTTAATTAAGTTAATGAGTCTTGTGGTTACATCATCATCATTGATATCCTGAAATGCAATTTGCTTGCTTGTATTAAAAAGTTAAAAAAATATAAAATAATGAAATGGACTTACTTGTGAACAAGAATTGTTATTTTCATTCTCGGATGCAGACATCATGTTAAGGTCAAATTTAGTAATGATGTACTTAGTTTTCCTAAAATAAATATAAAATTAACTTAAATTAAAATATATTAAGGTATATATAAAACACCTAATTGTCAAAGATCTGTAGATTATTACAATGTGTTTTGAATACACTTATTTGTATATTATGATTATATTACAATTTATAGACAATCGTTTTGAAATTAACGTTGAATTAAAGCATATAAAACAACTTGCTTTAATATCATATTTCTGAAATATGTTAAAAATTTCCCATTAAAACAACAATTCGGCCCTTACAGTGCCAATTAGGAAAAGTTTAAGATGCAATTTTGGATATCTTAAATAATAAAAAAATAAATTGAAACAATCCTACATAAAGTACCAGTGTTATGTTATGGTTATGTTTAATAATGAAAGGCTAGAACTTTTTTGCTCTCTATAATTTGCTCAATAAAATAAATCGCATAAAATGCCTAAAATTAATAAGTAATGTTTCAAAATCCAAATATTGATTAATGATAACAATTTTAATAATAAACTTATTATTTTATCTAAAAAACATTTTTAAAATTTTTGAAAATTATCCATGCTATTTCCATACAAAACTTTGAATTGCGCTCTATCTAAAAGTTAATATTAAGAGCTAAAAGTTATAGAGATTTTTTTTTTATTAATTTGGAAGCATTTGAGACCCTGGGACCAAGAAAATTCGAAAATGTCCATATTAAGGACCACCCTAATATATATATATATATATGGAGGTGTGGTCCATATTAAATAACATAATTATCCAAATTGTAGTAATAATAAATTTCATAAAATATTATTTATATTTGGTTTATTTTATATATGATTAATATCCACGACACT